GGGGGGCTTTTTTCCCAACGTTGTATGTAGGTAAAAGGTAATGACGTCAATACTCCCCGGTTTCCCCAGAGCAATCAAGCGCTTCCGTTCAAATCTAGCATTGAGACTAAATTAAGCCTCTTCAGTTGCCCTGCGAATGATATGCAGTTCTTATATATATATATACAAGCGTAATTACAAAAGGTACCTTTTCTTAGACTTGTAGGGTTGACAAAGCGTTGACACGATGACGCAGGCACAATGGCTATCTTTTCCAAAATGTGACACACACAAAAAGTATACAAATGGTGAGAGAGAAATTATCGGGTTTGGAGTTCGCCGACGGAAATGTTAATAAGAGTGCAACGTGCGCGCGCGAACAGAGAGAGAGAGAGAGAGAGAGAGAGAGAGAGAGAGAGAGAGAGAGAGAGAGAGAGGAATTTGTTTTGGTAGGTATACGGTCATATATGAGCTCTCGGGACGCATTGAACATTTTTTCTAGTTTTGGTGGGAATATTGAATTTTGCCAGAGTGGCGGCCGAAGCCTAATCTTATCGATTTTAGGACCACCAAGGGATCTTAAACTTAAACGTGCGCAACTTGCACACGGGACCTCCGACATTTTTCGCTGTTATCCAAAAAGGCTAGGTGATAGATCGTACCTACCTCAAGATCAGGGGTGTTGCTGAAAGACAGTAGTAAGGGGCCAAGGAGTAGCAGTAAAAAGGCTACAGAAAGAGTCAGGAGCACAGAGGAAGGGGGTGGAGGCAGAAAGTGGAGACGAAAGCGGACGACAGAACATGGTTAGAGAGCAGGAAAAGAGATGACAGGAGAACATTTTAGAGAAGAAAATTTTCCGTCGCTGTGAGGTTTGAAAACGAGACCTATTGCATGAGAGGCGAACACCGTAACCTGCAGACCACGAGAGAGAGAGAGAGAGAGAGAGAGAGAGAGAGAGAGAGAGAGAGAGAGAGAAAGAGAAAGAGTGAGAGAGAGAGAGAAAGAGAGAGAGAGACCTAAGACTAAGACACATTTTGTTCAACACCATCCTATGCCAGTAAATTCTGCGTGTGATAAAGTGTGTTCGTCTAAAGAAACGCTTCTTCGGTGCTCTAATTTTACATTTTCCGGAGACCGCTCAAAATGGAATACTGCCTTCGGGATTTTGAGTGCTTTTGGGCATAGGAAAACAAACTCGGCATCTACCCTTTTGAAAACTTCGGTGTCTGATATTCTGTACTGCTGTGTTTGATGCCAAGAATTCTCGTGAGGCATTTGAAGTGGAAATGATTGAGTTTGCTGGCATGGCTTTGGTACAATGTGCAGGTCTTAGCACAGCACAACAGGGTTGGGAGGACAATAGCATTGTAGACTTGTAGATTCCTTGTCCAGAGTCAATTAAACGATGCAGCACCCGAAGCAAACAAGTAAAGTAAAGTCATTTAAGTTCATGTGAGTCGTCAGCCAGCGCTAACATCGAGATCTCAACAGCGTGGAAAAGGAAATTCTTCTTCTTGAGATTTCTGGAGGTAACATCACTATTGACAGCTGACCATAATAATATGCCCAAATCAAGGACGAATTCAAATACAGCAGAACCTTCCATATCTTTCAATCACAGCTTGAACTCTTCTTAAGACGTCTACTGTTAATAAAATGAGGGTTCATTGAGACAGGAAGTGACATCAATTAATTACATGTACGTCCACAGGTCATACGGTTCTCTTTATAGAAGCTTGTGAAGAGGGATTTGATATTGATTGTAACACCTCTCATAACACAATGTGGTTGATACAAGAAGCTGGACTTTAAAGCTGTAGTTAGGTTCTTTGCCAAAAGGGAACAAACTAAGGCTTTCAATAGAAGAGAACATAGTAAGTGACAAAATTAAATTCCTTGGAATCCAATATTTATCCAATATAATGGGCCATTGTGTCATAATAGGCTCAGCAAATTCCAAATCTAAGTTCAATTAGCATCGATTTACTTGACTAATTATCAGTAATCAAGTGTTGGTATATATATGTTCCGAACAAATCATCACATTACACTGTATCAAAATACATTTCATCCAATTAAAGATTTTACTTCCATAATTGTGTTCATCCTACTCACGATTGCACAACCTTTTCTAAAAGCTCAAAAATGAGAAGGGTGCACATACCTTTGAGCCACATGTGAAGCAATAATGTTACATAACTATAGGGTCGTTTTTAAGGACAAGCGGGCTAACCCAGATTTTGGGGGTTTCCAGAAATCTTAACGTACTCCAAAAGTGGGCATTGCCCTACCTAAAGGAGAAGTTTGGTTTCAGCGGTGAGTATGTTTGTTTGGTCATAGAGAAAACTCTTCTTGTCTTGTAAAGAAACTGAACAAGGGGCAAAAAGTTTACCTTCGATTTTCTCAAAACAGCGTTTTTCGGGATAGCTCCCTTGTGCTTAAAAGCGACCATAAATATTTCTACAGAGTGAAGAGAAAGCAAACTGAAAGTAAAATAACTGAGGAATAAAATGAAAATTGAAGAGGAGAGACACTTGTTACCTTCCTTACATTTGTAAATGTGTTACACCATTATTAACATAATTTACACCATTTGCTTCCACCCTGCTTGTCTGTAAAGCCCAAACTGAGTGGAGTGGGACACCAGCCCCCCTCTTCCAGAAAAAAGACGACGGAAATACAGTCAGAATTGTCTAAGATGGCCACCCAATGTCAAGGAGAAAAGTGGCCGTCTCAGAAAAGTGACCATCTTACAGTGTTATTATAATGTAAAAAGAAACCCAGTGTGGGAAATGGGAAGTGGCCATTAGAGCGACTGTCTTATACAGGTAGCTGTTAGAGCAGGCTAGACTGTACAGATGCCAATTTTCAAACAATAATCTCTAAACATGTACACGCATACTTTTTGTATTAAAAAAGTACCAAAGTAATTCGCTTTTTGAAAGCTGAAAGATGTCCCTAATCCAAAGTACGCTCGACATCAACACCTGTCCTGATATCACATCTCAGATACTGAGTAAGACCCAGACAGTTTTGTTTTGATAACTGAAATCTGAGGGTATCACCTACATTGCTGAAAATGCATCATGATTCAGCTACAAGTTAAGAGACAGCTGCTTAGTCGAATCTTTGATTGACCAAAAAGTATTTTGATAAAGTGATTATTTTTTTTAGGAACATACACCATTGTTTGATTACTGATAATTAGTAAATAAAATTAATGCCATTTGAACTGGGGTATGGAACTTGCAAGAATTACTTCTACATCATAATTCAAATGAACAAACTCAGCACAGGCATACAAATTTCAACATAATTCATTTATTTGTACATTTCAAAATGAAACATCTCCCCATTCTCCAACTGACACTCAGAACTTCTGTGGTTTCATGAGCAAGGAAAACAATACCATCTCCCCCAATGGTGTCAGATGTTAGAATGGTTTCATTGATAGGAGGCACATCGACACAATAATCATAAGCTAGTGCTTGGGAAAAGGAAGAAAACAGAACAAAATATTAAAAAAGATAGGAAGGCAGTATAGTATTATACCAGCTGAGTCGTCCAACCACCAGCTTATCCATCAACAGCAACATGTACGTAGAGCTGGTTTTGGTCACTACAGCTTTGACGGATAAATTAGAGAAGTCAGTGAGTATCCTGAAAATCTACAATGGTATATAATCTGAGATAGTCTATCTTAAAACCCCAGGCAAAACAGTGAATGGTTTACATTGGTCGGATTTGACTATCTCAAAGCGCTGAAGCTATACATCAATGATTCCATTGTGGCAAGGGATATTTAAGTGTTGGCCACCCGGAAAGATGGAATTTTTTCTTCACAGTGAGAGCCTACCTATGGTTGTTGAATGTAGCTTGAAGGGCGGTGATGTGTTTAGCCCACATATATATAACCGAGCACACCTAGAATACACATAATCAAATAGACCTTTTTGTGTTCCAATTGATGTATGGGGACCTTCCACACGGTTATATAGACATGACCAAAGCAGAAATTTGACCGATCATTAACATGTTTGAACCAACACATGGCCATGCCACGGCTAAGCCACTAGGTTTTTTCCCCCTTGATTGCAATTACATTACATTTGTTCTAGCAACAAAACTCCTGAAGTGTCACAAATGGGTTGTGTTAATGTCATAAACTCGCACGGCGTGATCTGCTCCGCAAGAAGCCAGCTCCAGTGACTGGATATTCTCCTCACTATTCGTAAGGCCCAAACGACCCGGTCGCGGGCGGAAAGCCAGTCGGGTTACTGTCTTGTGATGGGCTTCACTGTAAGAGAAGACACAGAAAACATTTATTTAATCTCTTCACTTTTTTTCCAAAAAGCAAAAAAATATTGTGTGGTGGACATAAACATGATTTCAAGACTGGGCATATTTAATTTGAGAATGTGTATTTTCTGGTCAATACTTCAAAAGAAAAGTCATAATCTATGCAATAACTTCACAAAGAGTATCAGAAGTGACATAATTCTGAGGACATTGCGTGGATTAAAGGAGAATCCAAAGCTTTTTAGTTTTAGTAGGATTTTTACGGTGTTTGCAACATAACCAGGTCATATAAGCGCCGAAGATTAGAGGTGTTACTAGAGTGTAACTTACAAACAAAAGGAGGACGAGAGATAAGGATGACAGATGTCTTTGTTTTAGTAGAAGTTTTAAGGCGCTCGCAACTGTATAAGGTCATGTGAGCGCCAGAAGATTAGAGGTGTTACAAGAGAGTAACAAACATAAAAAAGAAAAGGGGAGATAAGGACGGTAGATGTCTGTTAGGAAAGAAGGAGCAAACCACACCATAGCACCCACCACCCACCCATGAATCCAAATTTATTGAACATTTCAAAACATTAAATCACCATTTATTCAAATGTTTAGAGACTAACAGAAGTATAATTATCACACAGGAATAAGCATTGAAAGAAAGAGTTATTAAGTGTATCCCCAACACCAAACAAGAATAATGTATACAACGCCCCTCCCCCCTTTTGAATAAAGACATGCAAAAGAAACCCATTTCAAACCCTTTTTAACCCTTAAACCCTCTTGATGCCAATACAAAGAAAATAGTGAAAACAACTTAAGAGACAAAACAGACATATTTTTTCCAAGGCCCTTTCCTGAAAACAATCAGCTTAAAACACGAGCTAAGACAACACATCAATCTATCTTGTTTATAAATGAATGCCGACCAACTTACCTTTGACTCAGCGTTTTTACAGTGCTCCACAAATCACAGTTTTTATCACAGACATCAGGATCAGACCACAGATGGAGTGAGACGTGACCAGTGTCCAGCCCAGCTGCCAACAGATACCTTGGGAAATCAAAAAGGATAAGTTATATAAGTACTATAATATACTTATGTACACTTCTACAGCGCTAAGAGAAAGCAAACTGAAAGTAAAATTACTGAGGGATAAAATGAAAGTTGAAAGAGGAGAGACACTTGTTGCCTATTATATTGTTATTATTATAATACAGAGACAGACAGGCATTGCTTCAAAAATTGATAAAGAATAAATTCTACTATACTGATGATACCTAAAAAAAAAAAAAAAAAAAAAAAAAAAAAAAAAAAGAAGAAGAAAAAGTCTGCTATACTGATAAAGGGACAACATTGAGCAACAAACCAAAGACAAGGAAGATATCCTGAAAGGTAAAAACCCAAATTATGACTCATATAAAGGCAGTACATCTTGAAAACATTAAGCTAAAGGGAGGGTGTATGGACCTTCTTAGGTGCACCCAAAGCAACCAGCTCATGTTATACTTGTAGAATGTAATATCTAAAAGACCCCCCCCCCCCCAAAAAAAAAAACAACACAAAAAAACAAAACAACAACAAAAAAATGCCACCCCATAACAAACCCTGTCACGAGAGGCTTCTGAGCAAACAGAAGCTTTAAACACAATCAAACCTCGTTATAACACCTCCCCTCCCCCTTACAGTTATACTGCCAGCCCTACTTACTATCAGGTTTTGCCAAAGTAGGGATGCCTATATAAACATAGTAAGTGTGCCTTTCCATCATTATCTACCATCTGACTAAGTTGTGCAGTCCTTATAAAACTAAGTAAATTTTCCCTGCCATTCCGCAAATGAACTGACTGCCAGAGGTACACACTAAATACGCCGCACAGAACTATCGCCAGATATCAGCCTCATGAAATCATGGCTGGCATCCCAAGGCTTCTCTATTTTGTGAGGAGTTAAGCCCAAGACTATGTGCCAGGCCAGGTCTGAGGAAGCCAGAGGACTGACGGGCAAAGGTAAAAAAACAACTGTACGTCCACAAAGATGTTGACACACATAGCTTAACTTCTGATCCAGCAGATATTTTCAATTTGAATTTATGCAAAGTTCTGTTGAGTTTGAATTTGTACACACACAAACAAACAGAAGAGAGAGAGAGAGAGAGAGAGAGAGAGAGAGAGAGAGAGAGAGAGAGAGAGAGAGAGAGAGAGAGAGAGAGAGAGAGAGAGAGAGAGGGAGGGAGGGAGGGGGGGGGGGAGAGAGAGAGAGAGAGAGAGAGAGAGACAGAGAGAGAGAGAGAGAGAGAGAGAGAGAGAGAGAGAGAGAGAGAGAGAGAGAGAGAGAGAGAGAGAGAGAGAGAGAGAGAGAGAGAGAGAGAGAGACTTAGTGCTAAATACATGTAATTCATCAAAAAAAAAAAAGACACACTTTTCAAACACAGATCACACAGCAGACATTGGGCAGTTGGAGATATATAACAGAGGACAGATTAGAACACCATTATACCGCCAGCCCAGCTGTACAGCCAAATTCACGCTCTCGCTCGTCCCAAGGTTTGCGATATAATGAGGTCTTGACTGTACGCATTGAGGAAACGTGAAAAACTGGACTATATCAACTCTACAACAATTCAGACTGAACCCCGTCGTTGCTACTGTTACAGTTGATTGGCCAACTAGTCCAATTAAAAAATGTTTGTCCATGGCCTATATCCTGATTTAGGGTGAGAAGGGCAGCAATGGTGATGAGCCGTATAAAGCCATTACAGTGTATGTAGATATCTACATAATTACCTTTTTCCCTGGACTGGCACAGGTGCGGCTGCAATGGCTGTTACAGAGTCTGGGAGCGTCTGAGACATGACCGGAGCAGGAGGGCCAGAACAGGAACTAGATGTGACGGATGCCACAGACCAGGCCATAACCTAGAGGAAAAAGTTACAGATATATTTCTTACTATGAACTCTTGTTTTTTATGATAATAATGTGTCATGACGAGGTGGAATCAGGCTCTCGTCAATTTGTGGAAATGTGGAGGTATTGGTATCATCTTAAAGCTTGTTCATTTGTCTTGCTTTGGATGAAAAAAATATCCATTTGTCTTGAATAGAAGTCGAGATATTTGTGAAAGAAGGAGGTGGGGGTCACCTGGTTTTAGAGATAAAATTATTGAGAAAATGGCCGCCAAAGATGAGTTATTTCCTTAGCTTGAGAGTCTGTGGAAACTGAAAATTTACATTTTTTGTGCCTTCAATCAACGATTTTCAGTAAAATCCACACAGAAATGTGTTCTTTAATAGGCATGAAAGGTGTTGAGCCAAAAAACAAAAATCCGATAAAAATTCACAAAACCTGTGAAAAAATACCAGTCTCTTCACTTTGATTATTTTTACGAGTGCCTGATTTCACCATGCTCGTCCGTCAACCTCTAATGATGACCAATACATCTGCATAGGAGAATACTTCTCAAGTGAAATAGAAGAATTTGAAGAATTTAAAGGTTGAGATGACTTGTGGCTTCTGCTGTGGCTGATGAGACAAATTCTGGCAGAGAAAAGCTTACCACATTTTGGACATTCAAAAGCTTAACTTCCACTTGTGGATGTGCACAGCTGTGCGGGCTTCTCTTTTTATGTTGATGTTGAAACAATAATTTCAGTATTTATTCCACAATAAAGCCTGATGAAACAATACATATAAAGGACAGGGAAGTTTTCAAGTCAGCCCATAACCCACTTCTAACATCAAAAACTGACATTCATCAAATCACTATCCCCCATATGAGAAAATATTTCATTGATGAAATTAAATGCTTCTCCGATACACTTCAACCCTATGTTTCATATGCAGAATGACTGAAATATCTCCAAGATTTGCTCATATGCAAAGAATACAAATTCACTTCAGGTAAAACATGAATACAGTCAAAACTGTATAAGATGGCCACCTTTTGTCAAGGAGAAAAGTGGCCGTATCAGACATATGGCCATCTTACATAGTGCCATTCAATTGTAAAAAATACGCAAGAAGGGAATTGAGAAGTGGTCATTCGTACATTTGATTGTGTTATACAGGTGGCTGTTAGAGCAGGTTTGACTGTATGTTATGAACTGTCTTCTGCTTGAACAATAAAAAGTAAATCCTTCCTAAAATACTCCTTTACCTTCTTATCTCTTGATGCTGTGAAAAAATATTTGTCATCATGGGACCAGGCACAAGACCAGATGATCCTGGAGTGAGCGGAAGTCTTCTTATCAACGCTTGCTCTGAGAACATACTGTCCACTGTCTGAAAGTAAGACACACACAAAAAAATAAATATTTTGTTTGATTTAGTAAAATTTTTACAACACTTGCAATATAATTAAGCCATATATTTGCTGAAGAATAGAGGTGTTACAAAAGAATAACAAAAACCACAATTGAAAAAAAACCGAAGTGGGAGAGATAACAATGACAGACGTTTGATAGGAAAGAAGAAGCAAACCACATCAGACCACCCGCCAACCACCTGCAAAAAAAGTATGTATTTCACGAAGTATATAAATATGAAGCAATAAATAATCACTACAAAACAGTCGTTCAAATACCCTGTGGGACATTTTTCCTGTTCCGGAGTACTGAAGTCATTGAACTCCAAACTGTATGATTATGATGTCATTACTTCTTTGAGTAAAAAAAAAAAAAAATATGTATTGAAATTGTGTTATGCAGTTGACATCCAAACGATTCAAACACCTGTTGTACTATGTCCTCAAAGTATCCATTAACGGTTAAAGCAGAAAGCAGGAAAACAATTCTTCACATATTATTATGACAAAGAGTGCCCATAAAGATTTAGACGGAGTAAAGGAAAGTATATCGAATAGGTAAGTTATTTACTCCTAAGAAAAAGCAAAACAGGCAGATAGAAGAAAGCAGAGCAAAATTATAGAAGTAGGACCTACCACCCATAACCCATAAAGTACAAATAGAGCTGCAGCACGGGCGACAAAGTCTTTAAGACTACTGTTCTTGACTGTTTTATTTTTGTTTTAGTAAGAGTTTTACAGCTTTTGCAACACAATTAGGTTCTACAACATATAAAATTAGAGGTCTTATAAGAAAGTAACAAACACAAATAAAAAGGGGAAGACATAAGGACGATAGAAGATGTTTGATAGAAAAGAAGGAGCAAACCACACCAGAGCACCCGCCAACCACCTGCTTTGATTTGACTATTTCATGTTGACAATATTGATCCATAACACCCACCTGTCTTGTGATACAAGGCCCAGGTGCGGTCCCGGGAGACAGCCAGCAGAAAGTCCCCGCTGTGACTGAACGCCATCTGAGTCACCGTCAAGCTGCAGCCTGCAAGGGACGCCACCTGCCTCTTTGTCTCTGTGTCCCACAGTAAAATATTGGCCACCTCCGCTTTTGCAGCCTGGATGCAAAAAAATATATAATAAAATAAAAATTAAAAAATAATAAAAGAAGAGAGAAATGACTCACCATGCGAAATTTTGGACAAACTAACAGAGTAGTCATTTCAAGTGTGTGTCTAAAGAGAGGCACATCAATATGACATGTCATTTAGTGCAGGTCAAGAGTAAGATAGAAAGACAGAAACGAGAGAGAGA